TATAGGGCACTTATTACATAAGGCTATATATATATATATATATATTAGCCTGCTCATCTGCCTACTGGGTAGCCTTATGTAATAAGTGCCCTATGATGCCTAGTGATATAGTCTTTCTCACCACCTGAGCTAGGTATTCCATAAGTGTTTCTTGTGTGTGCCTTGGGTTGTGTGTACCCCACTGTTGTAGTTGAGCCTTGATTGTTATTGGCATGTCATTGGTTGGGGTTACCCTCAGGCTGACTGCTTTGAGACTGATCATTACAATACAGATGAACTGCTGTGCAAGGTAGCCCTGGTCGGGCTTTGGTTCCTTCTGAAACTACCCTTTGGATATTTTGTTTGTGGAGCTAATTGTGCGGTGTTCTGGTGTGGCCCGAAGCCAGCTATCTGTTGTGTTGGTTTTGGGTCCTCTTGTGGGGAGCTCTAGTGCAGGCAGAGCTAGCTGCTTAGTTGGATCGAATTATATCTCATGGAGTCATTAGTGTTGGCTGAGTGGTGTTCAGTTGGTTAATGCAGATTCAGATTTGTGCCTGCCTGTGTCTGCAGGCTGTGTGCAAGTAGAGCTCAACACAGGAACAATGGCATCCGCCTGTCCAGCCCTTACCCTGAAGCCATACAGTATAATTTCTCCCTGTATGTCCATGGTGCCATTTGAGCTGTTGTCCTTTCACTGGAGCCTAGGGTGAGATTTTTGTGAATGAATGAGTCTGTGTTTGGTCCCTTTAAGAGGATGTCTGGGTTTCCAGCAGCTCTTCATCTCACCCAGACAGAATCTCTGCTGAGTTTTACAGCCACATGTTGTCGGGACTCCTTTTCCCGATATTGGTGTTCATGGCTGGAGAGCCCAGTGTGGGGCTGGGTCCCCTTGCTCCTCTGGGGGTACCTTCGTACCCGAGATATCTCTCTAGATACTCGACTACTACATTGTGGGTTTATGATCAACCCTTTTCTCATCTCTACCCTTCTTACCAGTCTTGACGTGGCAGCTTCTTTATATCCTTAGTTATAGGAGTTTTGTTCAGCTAGTCTTCAGGTGGTTCTCCAGGATGATTGTTCTATAATTTAGTTGTAATCGAGATGTGTCCATTGGTGGAAGCAAGCACAGCATTTACTTCCTCTGCCATCTAGACTGGATAAGGAAATATTTTTTGTTGGTTGTGGGGATGATTTCATGGACAAACATATGTCAAAACATGTATATATTTTAACTGTACATATGTACATGTACAATTTCTTGTGTGACAATTTATATGACATAAAATTAGAGTAAGTAGGAAATGAATTTGGACTTTACTTGTGGAATCCATATTTCTCAGTGACTAAGTGTATACAGATTTCTTAGTATAGGTCATGGTGATTTATAAAAATTTTAATAGTGATGTTTAATTTTTGACAGTTAAAAAAATACTATCTTGACTTTACAAAAGTGTACAATTACAGAACTCATGGTAGTGATTGCTCATTTTTGCTCTAATGAAGGTGAATATTGATGTTAGATAGACTAAACTGTTTTCAGATCTTGTTGACTATGGTAAAAGAGTCCTGGTTCCTGAAAACTGAGAAGGTCTAGGCCCAGATATTGCCTAAAGTTTGGCTATCTAGCCCAACATTTTAGGGCAGTACCTGGAGTTGTGTACTTATTCTCTCATTTCCTAGAAGGTACTGGTAACTTTTAAAAATTCAAATTTAGTATACCTACAGAAAAGTTTATATCTCATAAATGTGTATTTTGCTGCAGTTTTACACAATGAATACACCCATGTGAATAGCACTGAGAGCAAGAAAAACACAACCTGGTATTGGTAATTTTTCAAAATACAAGTCTTTCTAGGCTAGTTAGGTAAAATTGAACACACGCAGAATGACCATGACTAGACAATTTTCAGTTTTAAAGTTTCAGACAAACAAAAAAATTGTACTGTTTATTTTTATTTGTATAAATATAGTTTATATTTTGTTTCATCAAGATATTTCTTTTTGGCAGTGGACTCTCGAAAAATTGACCAGGAGGGAAAAATCCCAAAGGAAACTTTAGAGAAACTGAAGAGACTGGGGCTTTTTGGGATGCAAGTCCCAGAAGAATATGGTAAGTAAAGTAAACTAACCCTCCCCGGTTGGCTCTTAAGAAAGCGTTCTGTGTTTGTCCACAAAAGGGTTCTCTGTGGGAAAGGTGGCCTTTAACTGCAATATGTCCAAGGTTGAGGTGTGAATCTGCTGGAATTAATAAAAAAAGTCTTTGTGGACTAAATGCAAGGTGGCTGGCTGGTGAGTGTGTGTGAACTGGCTAAGGGGCCTGTAGGCAGACATCTTAGCTGCTGAGTTCTGTGCTTTCTTACTCTGAATGGATAAAGAACCACTTCAGGATTTCTATGCTTTCTAGGTCTCTGTAGGTGGTAGACAAGAGTATGTCAGAGCCGAATTGGCTGATTTCACTATCATCTCCATGGTACAGCTCTTTGGTCTCTCTGGCACAGTAATTGCTCCTAGAGCCATGCACACTTGGACAGATAACCGTGTGGTGAAAGCTCAGGTGTCAGGGTCCACTGGATTTGGCTTCTCCTCCCAGTGCAAAGGAAAAGACATATGGCTGCAAAGTGTATGTATCTAATTGGAGGATTTGACCAGGGAGTCCTTCTAGCAGAGCCCTTTGTCCTTTGGACTATGCACATAATTCTCTGAGGATTGTAGTGATGTTTTTAGCCCCCAAGTGAAAGACCTTGCCTTTCTCCTCAGGATTCCAGTGTAATTCTGCAGCGTTATATTTGGCTGATCATATAGCTTGTTTTTCTTTTGCTAATCTAGAGGTGGTCATCTCATTTCTGTGGGATTAACGAGGTAGGCAAGCAGCGTTTGTGTGTGGGAGAGGAATAGAAAATGTTTCAAAGAGATAATACAGTCATGCACATGCACGTACATACACACCCACACACTGTTTTTAATCTCAGGTTCTTTTTACATAAAAGTGTGGCTCTCAGCTTTCATACTTCATCCTGTACTCACCTCTCTGAGGTCTCTTCCTGAGTCTTTGTAAGGTGAACCTGCTCTCAGCTTTGATCAGCTGGGGGGCAGAGGTTTAGGGGAGAGAGCCGTTGGTGATGCTTTAAGGGCTGGGGATATTTCATGGCTGCGAGCTGGTCATTTGGAGGTTTTTAATATTTTGGGCATTTTACCAGCCAGAATTGTAAATTAAGTTTTGCACAGCAAGTCCAGAAGCAGGAGCTTGTCTTGATGTTCTGGCTTCCTGCGTGGTTTATCTCCAGAGATTAAAGTTAGGCCTTCCCCTGCTCTTTGGGCAGCCACAAGAGTTGCAGGGCCCTCAGTATCTGTAGAATAAATTCCCACTTGTAGACATCCTGGAGCTGGTCCAGTCTGAAACAAAATGTGAAAATTTAGGACAAACCATTGTGATACCTAATTTCCTTCGTTCTGAGGCATATTTTAATTAGGTTAAATCTTAATTTATATGTATGTTTATTACTTTGTTTTAAACTGTTAAATGGTATATCTTACTTGTCATCATATGAAGTACCTTCCACATTTCCAAATGTATAAAAAAATTACCTTATCTCTGCAGAAGACAAAATAATCAGTGATGTTTCTACCCCTAGCGGTGGAACATGCAGCACAGACCTCTGCAGGGAGAAACTGCACATCCTGTTTCTTAACAAATATCTGCAGCCTTTGAGTAAGTTGGAAGAGACAGAGTTCTTCGCAGACATCTGAGACTTGTCGGTGTTAAAACTCACAAGCGACAGGGGAACTGTTTGCCATAACACACGGGCTATGAAGAATATTAGAATATTAGAAAGCAGGTACAGGTAGAGCCAGAGAATGGTGGTTGGTCTGTCATCAACTGGGAAACATAAGTGCTTGAGAAAACAAATAGCTTGAGAAAACTGCTAGTCATAGCTAGGTTAGGAGTATTATATATCCTCTTTAAAATCATTTTTAAGAAATTTCTTGATTGATGAAAAGTACTCAATTTTTTTCTCAAACAATTTCTATGTAAAATTGGGATACATCTTTTTACTTCTGCATGTCTCATGTGCAAACACATATTGGGTGAGAGTGCGTGTGTGCACATGTGCCTATATTGGTACGAGATTGCACAACTCTCCATTCCTTATTCGTGTTTTATGTCCTACTTTCTGGTATGAAAATGCGCTTTCATGAGAATGGTAATGTTTAGATTTTTTTTTTTTTTTTAATTCTTCCTTAGGAAATTAAGGCAACAGCTACCTTATACTCATGCCCAAAAAGTTTTGGGGAAATGTTCCCTCATTCAGGGAGAAACGAGCCTTTCCACCAACTGAGCCTGGATTTCCAACCAGGCCTGCTGATGTGTGGCTCCTTCCTGCCCCTCAGTTCCTCTTCTACCAACAGTCTCCACATACCTGTCATCCTTCTCCATGTGATTGCTATCCCCCATGATTTTAGTGATAACTTTCTTGGGATGATAAGCATCAGAATTTATTTTTTGAGCAAACAAAACCAACTCCCTCAGTATATGAAATAAGTAAAAATATTTTGGTTGAAACTGAAGTGGGAGGGGTGGTGGTACTGCAGAGCCCTGGCCTTCCCTGGATGCCACCACTGGACTCATAGGAATATACACCAGGACCACTATGCATCCCTGCAGGGACTCAGCCCTTCCTTTTGTGTGTGAGTGGCGGCTCCAGGGCTAGCACCCACACACGCCCCTGAGTTGAGGGCCCAGTCCTGCTACATATTGGCCACATGACCTTAGGTTTCAGTTTGTCATTTGTAAGGCGCACGTAAGGCCGCCACCACCCATCTGTGGAAGTTGAAGATAAAATGCAAAATACATACATTCAATGGAGTTTTGTTTTTCTTTCTTTCTTTTTTTATTCCAGATTCCCAACCCTGGGTGATTTTTGTCCCCCAGGAGACATTTGGCAATGTCTAGAGATATTTTTGTTGTCAGCAATGGGGGAGGGGGAACCTCTGACACCTAGTAGGTGGAGGCCAAGGATGCTGCTAAACCTCCTACAGTCCACAGGGCAGTCCCCCATAACAAAGAATGATTCATTCCAAAATGTCAGTAGTGCCATGGCAGAGAATCTATCCTAGAGTCCATTAGATATGGGAATGGGATGCTGGACAGCTGTTTTGTTTATAAAGATCTTTATCTGTGATGGAGATGTTCACAACATATTAAATGATTTAATGTATAGGTATTTTTATATTTTTGTATTATAGATATGTTTTTAACACAAAAATATATCTATACATGCTCATATGCCTAGAAAAAGTCTGAAGGATGTTTATGGGTTATTTTTGTTTTCTTTGTACCTTTCTGTATTGTGATTTTTTTTAAAAATGGTGATCTGGCATTACTTTTATAATGAGAAAAGACCAGTAAAGACATTTGTCTTTAATGAGAGGAATTTGAAGCTGGACCATAAGTAAAGCTGATCTGTTTCTTTTCTAGGTGGCCTGGGCCTCTCCAATACCATGTATGCGCGGCTAGGGGAAATTGTCAGCCTGGATGCGTCGATCGCTGTGACCCTGGCAGCACACCAGGCTATTGGCCTCAAGGTCAAGTATCTGGGCATGCTTCCTGAAGGTCTTCTGGAACCACTGAGTGACTCCAGAAGGCCTTCAGGAAGTGAACTGGGCTTGCTTTCTCAGGGTCGTAGAGGAAGGCCAAGCCTGCTCCTGCAGCTTTGCCCTACAGTGCTTCATTTGTGCACATTCTCTCTCAGCCACACCATAAATGCTCAGTCCACAAACAAGCAGTGGTCCTTTGGTTGCATTGTCCCTTCCTTTTGAATACTCCTTTTGTTTCCCATCACTACTGACCCATCCTTTGGAGGCCCAGTTCTGATGCTCCTGCCTCTGTGGAGCCTGCCTTCACCTTGGGCTGGAAGTGAGCCTCCCCACCCTGAGCTCTTGAGTCACTTGGGGCCTGACTGAATTGTGGCTCTGGAACGCCCGGTGTCCACCCTGCGACTGGGTTTGGAGCATTTTAGGGCAGATCTAGTATCACACAGCTCTTAGCAAATGTCCAATTACTTGAGTTATTACTGCTCAATGTAGAAACCAAAGGGAGCTGAGTGAGCAATGTGCTTGGCTCCCCCGACCCCGTGAGTTTTTGGGCTCCGTGCAGCCATTCAATGG